CTGCTATGCCACAGTGCCGGCCCCAAGACAAAATTTTTAATCTTCTAAGTGTAGTCAGTATTCAGTCAAACTGTTAGAAAAACAATTATAATAATACAAAATTATTGGGCTCACTGTTGTGGCATAGAGGATAAAGCTGCTGCCTGTGACGCCAGTATCCCTTATGGGTGCCAGTTCATGTGCTGGCTGCTTCATTTCCCATCCAGCTCCCTGCGAATGGCCTGGGAAAGCATCGCAGGAAGTTCCAACTTCTTGGGCCCCTGCCACCCACGTGGGAAACCCAGCTGAAGCTTCTGGCTCCAGCTTGGCGCACTGCTGGCTGTTGTGGCAATCTAGAGAGTGAACCAGGGGACAGAAGATCTCTCGGTCTCGCCCTCTCTCTCTTAACTCTGAACCTCAAATAAATAAGTAAATCTTTGAAAAAATTAAAAATTGTAATTAAAATTCAACAAATTTCTTCTTTGAGCTACTTGTTTTCCCTAACTAAAACCATTTTCCTCATTCTTGATGAATACTCTACTTTAAATATCAAAATCTGTTTATATAAACCAAATCATTATTGAATACTCACTATCAAATTTCCTGAAAGGACTGGGAACTACTGGCAGCAAGAGCTATGGTAGTGGGCAGAACAGAGAAGCAATCCTGCCTTCTCCTGAAGCTTGCAGTCTAATGAGGGAGATATTTACAAATAGAACATTTCAGCTGTTAATAGATGAAAAAACTTAAGAAGATAACAGGAAGATGATGGGGGATATCATTTCAAGTAGGGTGTAATGGGAAAGTGCCACTTAGAAGGTACAATGTGCAATACCCCAAGGAAATGATGCTCATTTTAAACTTCTGCCAACTAACAAACAGGAAAACCATCAAATAAAACTCCTATTGGATGTGCTATGTTATCCTTATTTAGCTTAACTTTAAATGTGCTAATCTATTAACGTAATTCTGCATGGTTTTGACAGAAATAGTAATTATTATATATAACATGACTTGCCTATGAATATAAATCATTTACATAGTCATAAAGATGTAAACACTGAATATTTAGACAAGCACATCATAACTATTCACATCCACAAGCCCAAGTATGAAACCTCTGAGTCAAATCTGTTTTAGAATTTAAATCCTGGGGCTGGTGCTGTGGCGTAGCGGGCACCAGTTCAAGTCCTGGCTGCTCCACTTCCAATTCAGCTCTCTGCTATGGCCTGGGAAAGCAGTGGAAGATGGCCCAAGTCCTTGGGTCCCTGCACCCACATGGAAAGACTCGGAGGAAGCTCCTGGCTCCTAGCTTTGGATCAGTGCAACTCCAGCCATTGTGGGCAATTGAGGAGTGAGCCAGCAGATGGAGGATCTCTCTCTCTCTCTCTCTCTCTCTCTCTCTCTCTCTGCCTCATTTTCTCTCTGTGTGTAACTCTGAATTTCAAATAAATAAATAAACCTTTAAAAAAAAAGAATTTAAATCCCTTTAAGAAATATGGTGCATATACAGAGCAGGCATTTGGCTCAGTGGTTTAGTTGCTGTTTGGGACACCTGCATCCCACCACAGAGTGTCAGGTTTGAGTCCCTTCTTCATTTCCAATCTAGCTTCCTACTAATGCACATCCCTGGAGGTGGCAGAGAACTTAGGTCCCTGCCACCCATATGGGAGACCTGGAATGAGTTCAGGGCTCTTGGTTTTGGTCTGGCCCAGCCCCAGCCACAGCTGAGGACATTTGCAAATTGAACTAAGTGGATGAAAGATCTCTCTCTCTCTCTCTCTGTCTCTCTGTCTCAGTCTCTCTCTCTCCTTTTCTGCAGGTGTGGCAGGCATATGGCAAAGTATCTATGATGCCATCTGGGATGCCTGTATCCCATGCTGGATTGCCTGGGTTCAAATACCAGCTCTGGGGGTCAGCTTTGTGGCATAGCTTGGTTAAGCCATGGCTTGCAACGCTGGCATCCCATATGGGTGCCAGTTTGTGTCCCAGCCGCTCCACTTCAGACCCAGCTCCCTGCTAATGGCCTGGGAGAAGCAGTGGAAGATGGAAGATGGCCCAAGTGTTTGGGCCCCTGTTATCCACATGGGAGACTAGGAAGAAACTCTTGGCTCCTGGCTTAGGCCTGGCCAGTTCCTGCCATTGTGGCCATTTGGGGAGTGAATCAGTGGGTAGAAGATCTCTGTCTCTCCCTTTCTCTTTCTCTCTGCAACTCTTTCAAGTAAATAAATAAACCTTAAAAAAAAAAGTATCAGGTGTGCTTCTGATCTCAGCTTCATGTTAATGCACACTCTGGGAAGCAGTAGGTAATGGCTCAGCAGTTGGGTGATGTGGATTGAGATCCTGGCTTCAGTCTGGCCCAGCCCTCACTGTTGCTGGCATTTAAACAGGGACTTGAAGGGGTGAGCCAGAAGAAGGAGATCTCTTTCTGTCTCCTCTGTTTCTTTCTGTCTCTCAAATAAAATGAAAATAAAATTTTAAAAATCTATATTTCTGCAGTATAACACATGAATACTTACATTAATATTTACATTACCCCACAGCAATTCAGTGATAAGATTGAAGATTAGAAAGGCTTTCAAATGAATTCAGGTTGGATCAGTTATGAAAAACTTTTTGGATTGTAAATTATGGATATGGGATTGTGGATTTATTTTCGAGGAATTGGGGTAAAAATGAAGATGCAGATATGGGACAGGGAAGGATAAAAAGCTACATCTTCATTTCCCATCATGGAGAGGCAATGGATAATTCCAAAACAATCAGGAAATAAGTAATGTGGTATTTAGAGATGTGGTGGTAAATACCAAGAGCCAGCCTAAGGAGCTGAAAGTGATGGTTCCAGTGTGGCAGAGATGGAGGAGAAAGGATGAAGTATGGCTGGTCTTTACAAGTCCAATACAACTGTTTGCCAATTTAAATATGTACACAAGCAACTTTAATAAAAACAAAAACTGACCCTGAAAAAGTGAATAAGAACAGGAGAAATGCAAGCCATGTATCTGACAAATGACCTGTACCTGCAGATGCTCCTTGACTTACAATGGGGTGATGGTCTGATAAACCCATTGTAAACGGAAAATATTGCCAAGTACAAAATGCATTTAACACACCTAAATGTGCAAGCATCATTGCTTAGCGACACTGGAGAGAACTGGTTATTTGCCCTCCTGATCACATGGCTGACAGAGCTGAGGCTCACTGCTGTTGCCCAGCACTTTGAGAGAGTATCTTACTGCAAGATTCTAGCTTGGGAAAGGATCAAAACTCCACATTTAAAGTACAATTTCTACTAAATGTTCATCATTTTCATATCATTGTAAAGTAAAAACATCAAAGGCCAAACCATCATAACTTGGGGACCATCTATATATAAACTATCAAGAACTCTCAAATCTCAATAATGAAAAACAAGCAAGCCATTAAGAACATGATCAAGAGACAGGAGCAGTCATTTTACCAGAGGCAAACAGATATATGAAAAGAATTTACATATCTTAGCCATCAGGGAAATGCAAATTAAAACTATGCCAGAACTGTGGTTAGCAGGTAAAGCTGCCATCTGCAGTGCTGGCATCCCATATGGGCACCAGTTCGGAGCCCAGCTTCTCCACTTCTGATCATTTCCTTGCTAATTCACCTGGGAAAGCAGTAGCAGATGGCCTGAGTGCTTGGGCCTCTGCACCCACGTAGGAGATCCAGAAGAACCTTCTGGCTCCTGGTTTCTGTCTGGGCCATTCCTAGCCGTTGTAGCCATTTGGGGAGTGAACCAGCAGATGGAAGCACACAGCGCTCTCTCTCTCTCTATATATATATATATAATTGTAACTTTGAAATAAATAAATATAAAAAAAACCTATACCAATCAGAATGGTTAAAATAAAACTTAGTGCTAACCTAAAATGCTGGCAGAGAAACTGGATCAGTTGTATATTGCTGGTGGGAATGTAAACTGATACGCCTCTACAGAAAGGAGTATGGAAGTTTCTTGCAAAACTATACATGCATTTATCATATGATCCAGCAATTTCTCTGTTAGGCATTTATTTCACAGAAATGAAAACTTAAAAGTTGTATGCATAAGTTCATTGCATCTCAACTCATAATAGCCAAGAACTGAAAGAACCAAAAATATCCTTCAGTCAGACAATGGTTAAACTAAGTGGTACATTCATGTTATGTACCACTATTCAGTAGTTGAAAAAAACCCTACAGATATGCACAAAAACTTGAGTGCATCCTAGACAATCACACTAAGGGAAAAATGTCTACCTCAAAAGGTTGCATAAGAGCTGATTCCATTTATATAACATTTCTGAAAATGGCAAAATATGGAGATGGGGAACAAATTGGTGGTGGCCAGAGACTGAGGCCTGGTGGAAGGGAGAGAGTGGATATGGCTACAAGGCTATGAAGGATGGAATGAGAAAGTTCTGCAGTGAACAGTTCCATAACTTGGGGTGATGCTCACGTGAGCTATACCTAACAAAACTGCATAGAAACGACAACCTTAGGTGCACAAAGTACTGTCTCTGTATATGTTCTGTGGGTATGTCTCTATGGAATAAAAAGATAGTGGAATGTTGTCCACTCCTCAGCAATTAAACTTCAAGTTGGAGTTGGCAGAATAGAGGTATTAGAGGGGATTTTGTTTTAAGGCTTGCTTTCTTTCCTCTTTTAAATTAAGATTTGTTATTACTCGAGTAATTGAAAATGTAAACAAAAAGACTAAAAGATGATAATACATGTATATGTATATGCATATAATTTTTGGAGTATCTCAGTTGTAATGGAATAAAGGATAACTTTTAAAACTGAATTTTCTTCAGTATGTGTTTAAGTATCACTTTTGTAATCATAAAATGCAACAATGGTGACCTCTAAAAAGCTCAATTGAAAGAAACATTTGTGGAGAATAATTTGAAAGTTATGCAGTCATCTGTACCACTTATAGATGATTCTAGATTAAAAGCCATTTGGGGAATGGGTGGAAGCATTCAGAATTAGAATTCCTGTACTACCTTATTTAAGTCTCTTGAGAAATTGCTTCCTCTGGATCAGGTGTCAACGCTCTGCCATTTGCCTGTTCAGATCCTCTCATTTTCAGAAGTCCTATGGAACATATTAACTGTAGAGATGGTGGTAAATGTTATTCTTGACCTTGTACTGTCTTTTTTTTTTTTTTTTTTTTTAATGAGAACTCAAAGGAGAAGCTTCTCCCAGATCTCTGTACCAGGAAGATTCGTGCTTCTCTTAGGCAACTGGTCTGGTCTCCACTATTAAACATTGTAAGTCCTTTAACTAACAGGCTTCTTCCTTTCTATTTTCAACTATAAAGCTAAAAACAGGGGCCACAGTGGGTTAAAGCCCTGGCCTGAAGCGCCGGTTCATGTCTCGGCTGCTTCTCTTCTGATTCAGCTCTCTGCTGTGGCCTGGGAAAGCAGAAGAAGATGGCCCAAGTCCTTGGGCGCCTGCACCCATGTGGGAGACTCGGAACAAGCTCCCGGCTCCTGGCTCCTGGCTTCGGATCAGCACTTTCCACTGCTTTTCCAGGCCATTAGCAGGCAGTTGGATCAGAAACGGAGAAGCTCGGACTCCAATAGGCCCATATATGATGCCGGCACTGCAGGTGGAGGCTTAACCTACTACACCACAGTGATAGCTCCCCAGAGTGTTTCTAGCTATGAAGAAGGCTCAAGTCTAATATCCCATCTCCAGCTCCAGTGGACAATCTTTCTGGTGCTGTTTCCCTTTAGCTCACTACACTTGCTCACCCACATTATGCTACCCATCCTGTTAACCCTTCCAGTTCTGTTTAGTCTGTCATTCCCACACAACTCCATTTTCATTTTTTCCACCCAGTCTTACACCCACAGTGTGTCACTTCAACCTGAATCAGTCATCAGTTTGTAGGTTTTTGTAAAGTTAGTTACTTTTGTTTTTTCATAAATGTGTTTCTATTTTTCTTAATTCAAATCATTAATGCCCAGATTCACTGGAAATAATTTGGAATTTCTACAAATATATTTGAATTTCACATCGAGAACTCAGTGTCAATAAATATGCGTATACTAGCACTGGAAATACATTTTGATGTCCCAGGAACTGTGTTAAATACTTTCTGCACATTACCTTAATCTTCATCACATCCTTCTGAGACAGGTACTTTCTTCATTTTCTAAAGAAAATGTGTTTCAAGAAATTAACTGACTTGTAAATCTACCATCTAGAGAATCACTCAAAGGGGCAGACTCCTCAGGTCAACTCTAAACCACTTCATGAAGTCTATGCTTTGGAGGCTCATTCTACACGAGATCTTAGCAGTCTAATTCCAACACAAAAATACAAACAGAGCCCTAACTTGTGCTATTTTTGGTCCTGGCTTTGATACTCTTGAGTATTTGATGAAGCCTCATGAAAATGCTGAGGACACCTAAAATAAAATCAGAACCCATAGGAGACCTGACAGCTATGAGAAAGCTACAGTAAACACCAAAAGAATCGGAGGGAAAAATGGTGATAATGTCCACCAAGAGCTTAAGGGCACTCCAAAGTAGAATCCAGAACAAGTAGAAAGTCTAACAGGCATAAGGAGCTCACTGAGGACGAGTAAAGTAACCTAGAACCCATGGGAGACCTATGGCTTTCAAAGCGTTCCAACAAACATCAAGAGTCGGAGGAAAAAATAAATGGTGATAAGGTCCACAAAAAGAATAGGATCATTCCAAACACAAACCAGAACTGGTAGAAAATCAAAGAATTATCAAAGGGACTGTTGGAAAATGCAGTGAGAAAGAACCCAATAGGCATCAAAGAACTTATAAAAATACTAAAGCAAGTAATAGCCCAGAGACTGAAAACCACAAGAAGTCCAAATCTCCCAGGTAGAATGTGGAAAAGGCAAAAACCTCAGAAGTATCAAGAGATTTGCTAGGGTGCCTAAATAAAAGGCAGAACCCATGGACAACACAACAGGGACCACAAACCCCATGAGAACACCACAGCAAACTGTGGAAAACAAGACGATCAATGAGAAACTCAGGACAGCTCCCAGGGAGAGATGTGAATCAGCTGGACCTCTGACAAAGATCAGGAGACTTCTCATAACTTCTGTGAAAAAAAAATAAAATAAAAGACCTGGCAGGTGTCAACAGATGCAACTCCTAGAAAAAAGAGAAACCAAGCAGATGACTTGACAGGTGCCAAGAACTTCACCACAACCTCAAAGTAGAAATGTGAATTAGTAGAATATCTGACAGGAACCAAGAGACTTTAAAAACTCTGAGGTATATCCTGTAGAAGATCAGGCAGATTCTTAGGGACGATTTTTTCAATGTTTATGAAAATTCTAAAAACTTGACCACAGGGAACATCTACATTAGCCACAGGAAACATTTGGTACAGATTCAGATTTATCAGAGAAATTACAACAGTTGCTTAAAACACCCATAATACAAAATGAGAAAAATAAGAAAATCAGTATTAGGCAAAAAAACTAAGATACATAGAGCTCTTATGTTCTATTATAGTTTGATTGTACAAATTTTCAATCAAAACAAAATGTTGGGCTGGCACTGTGGTGTAGCAGATAAAGCTGCCGTCTATGGTGTTTAAGTTTGATTCTCAGCTCAGCTCCGGACTCCAGTGTCCCACCAGTACCGACCCTGGAAGGCAGCGGCAATAGTTCAAATACTTGGCTTCCTGCCATCCACGTGGGAGACCTGGACTGAGTTCTTGGCTCCAGCTCCAGCCCAGACCAGGCTCGGACACTGTGAGCTTCTGGAGAGGGAACTCGTGGATGGCAGCTCTATCTTTCCACTTCTCAAACAAATAAAAAATTAAAAATTAAAAAACTTCAACACGTATTATTTTCTCTCAACCTGGATATCCATATTAATTGCAATTATGAAATGTTTGCAAAAGTAAAAGCAGAATATTCTATAAATCTGAACATACTCATGCTTAGAACATCAGTTTCAGTTCTGCACTGTTTCCTTTATTAATTCCACTTGAGAGAAACTGTATACATAAAGTATAACATTAAAGTATGTAGCCTATTGCCGTTTAAGCTGTTAAGGGAGGCCATTTCCTTAATATTCCCTTTGCCCTTTACAATTGAATCTCGTTCCCCTCATAATGAATATGGTACACCTCATGCCCTTTGGCATAACTGCCAAGGCCATTTTCCATGGTTGAAGCACACTCACATTTGCAGAATGTGGCAATTAATGGCCTCTTACAGCTCCTTCTCAAGAAAACATTTTTCCTTTGTTAACGATGTTGAATTCTCCTAACGAATTGCTTTTAAGCAGCTGATGATTACACACACACACACACACACACACAAAATCTCGTACCTAAATTTAGAAAATCAGATTTTCTCACATTCCAGATGGATTGCCATATTCAAGACCATTATTTTCCCATTCATGAGAAGTCAGTAAAAATAAAAATGTGCTTAAAATGTTTCAGTATTTGAATTTTAAAAAAGTTTTTAGGGCCGGCGCCGTGACTCACTAGGCCAATCCTCCGCCTTGCGGCGCCGGCACACTGGGTTCTAGTCCCGGTCAGGGCGCCGGGTTCTGTCCTGGTTGCCCCTCTTCCAGGCCAGCTCTCTGCTGTGGCCCGGGAGTGCAGTGGAGGATGGCCCAAGTGCTTGGGCCCTGCACCCCATGGGAGACCAGGATAAGTACCTGGCTCCTGCCATCGGATCAGCGCGGTGCGCTGGCCGCAGTGCACTGGCCGCAGCGGCCATTGGAGGGTGAACCAATGGCAAAGGAAGACCTTTCTCTCTGTCTCTCTCTCTCACTGTCCACTCTACCTGTCAAAAATAAAATAAAATAAAATAAATAAATAAAAAAATAAAAAGTTTTCATCTGTTGGGAGGGGGAGTAGAGGAGAGAGAGACTGAGCTCTCCCATCCACTGGTTCACTCCCCAAATGCCCACAATGGGCAGCCCTGAGCCAGGCTGAAGCCAGGAGCTGGGAGCTCAATGCAGGTCTCCCACATTCATGGGTAGCTAGAATCTAATCACATAAGCCATCCCTGCTGCCTGCCAGGGTCCATATCAGCAGGAAGCTGGACTCAGCAGCACAGTGAGGAAATCAAGCCCAGGCACTCTGATATGAAGCAAGCGTGTGCTACCCTGTGTCTTAACTGCTGCACCAAACATCCACATCCACCCTGAATCTTTTTGGTGACTGAAAACCAGAAGCAGAGGCTCAGTATTCGAGAACATGGCACTCAGCTGGATTTGCATAAGATACATAAAACTAAATTAATATTTCATATCAATTGCATTAATATTCTATGCCATAAATTAAAATCATACATAGTTGGAGACTGTTCTCCAACTACATATAGGATATTATTATAATTTGTAAATTATCAAAATTTATTATAAATTCTTTATAGGTGATAATATTTTCTGTATTACCAAACACATACAATTATATATAGTAGTTTGTGTCTATGTCGTAACTTCCAGGTAGTCTGTAAAACTAAACACTCAAGATGCTTCCCTTATTGCTTTAAAAATGCTTCTATCCACATATTCCAGCACTGTGAACACACAAGTTCTGTGCCTGTTAGGACGGCCAGTGCTATGTGTGTTTTCGGGATATAAGCTCATTTATCACTAATCATGTTGTTTTAAAGAATTTTTTTCTAAAAAATATTATTCCTGAACAAAATAGTGCTTGGGAAATCAATGAATTGCAAAAAAAAAAATAACTATAGTGGAGTCAAACCCATTTCTATTGAACTGAGTGAAGTCAATAAAAGCCTGCAGGTTGGGCAGGAAAAATACAAGTGAAAATGTGTTGTAATCTTAAAATTCAGTAAGAACTCATTGCATGACTGATATAAAGTACAATTTCCAGGGTATGGGTAGTCTGGATTTTAGGGAGAGAATGGTTCCACAGTTGCTACAAAGGAAACATACTTTATCCATTATTGCAAGTGTCTTTCTTATAGGATTTTGTTGTACCTTTCTTTAAGATGTCAATAACAGCACACAGGCTATGCTTTATATACTGATATTTGAATATTTAGGTTGATGTTTCAGAAACAGATGATGTAAGAAATGACTAAAGCAGCACACCCTCAAGGAATAAACTATTTAAAAGAATCCTGCGGGTCGGCGCCGCGGCTCACTAGGCTAATCCTCCACCTAGCGGCGCCGGCACACCAGGTTCTAGTCCCGGTTGGGGTGCCGGATTCTGTCCCGGTTGCCCCTCTTCCAGGCCAGCTCTCTGCTGTGGCCCAGGAATGCAGTGGAGGATGGCCCAAGTACTTGGGTGCTGCACCATGGGAGACCAGGAGAAGCACCTGGCTCCTGCCTTCGGATCAGCGTGGTATGCCGGCTGCAGCACGCTGGCTGCGGCAGCCATTGGAGGGTGAACCAACGGCAAAGGATGACCTTTTGACCTTTCTCTCTGTCTCTCTCTCTCTGTCCACTCTGCCTGTCAAAAAAAAAAAAAAAAAAAAAAGAATCCTGCAACTCTCTAGTGTGTTTGAATGGTGGATAGTATTGCTAATCACATGTAACATAGTGCTAGAGTATTTGAATAACATTAATAATAACATCAATAGAACTGATTTAATTAAATTTTGTACCATTCTCAATGCATGTAGTCTCAACTGCTGATGTTTTTGTCAATGCATAGCCTTAAACTGTTTTTAAATGGTAAAGATACGTATCCCATATTTTAATACACTACCATATGATCACACATCTGATAAAATTTACGCAGAGAAATATTTTAATGTTTTCTGTTTTAATACATTTCAAATGATTTTTCTTTAACGACAAGTTCATTAGCTTTTAGAAATTGAAAGTAAAAGATTCTCTTTTATTACAACTCAGACATTTCAAGATTTCTCAGAATTAACAGACTTTTTCAACCCACCTTTAAAATTAATCAAATCATTTTCTTTTTATACAAGTCAGATATCTTAGGATGTCTTAGGACTGTCAGACTTCTTCAGTCCTAAGAACAACGTTCTAGATCCACGTGTAATCTTGCTTGATGTAATAGTCACCCTTCCCCAAGCAGAGAAATGTTTCTTACTCTATTCATGTTCATCATAGACTGTAATAACGCCATGGCATACAGTGTGCACTGTACATAGACAACAGGCATATGTACATTATACACGATGCAATGAAATGTTGTTACCTTTTGCTTGAAGGACAGTTCACTGGAATGGCAGGATTGATAAACACTTGTTTTTGTCCCTTAAGATAGGTTGACCGAATCGTTCTGCATCACATCACTGCACAATTATGGCTTTAAAGGAAAGGTACAAGCCACAGGTCCTTGGGCTTTATATTATGACGTGGAACATATTCCAAATGACAAATGGAGGAGAAAGTGTACGACATCATGCTTCATGGTATGGCATACATGTACCAATTATTCCTACACTTAACTATGTGATGACTGACTCCATTAAGACTGCATAATGTACACAGTTATTATAAAAGTTATATATTATGCCACGGTACTAAAAATAAAATATATTCTTCTCAAATAGTGAAAATAAGATATCCTTCATGTCTTTCATGTCACATCTCCTCGTTTGACCGTGCCACTTTCTTGAATGAAATAATGTCCAATATTTTATCAAACAGTGACAGGGTGTGGGCCATTTCCTGAACATCAATGCTCTAAAAAAAAAAGTGATGACGATGATGGTGATGCCATTAAGTTGCTGAAATACCTTCCTGCTGCGTTCAATTCATGGTGAAAACTGAAAAACCAGACAAATAAATATCAATACCTTCTCGGTTACTGAAAAACCCAAAGTCCAATTAATTGTACGGTCACGGATTTCCCTGGTTGCTGTGCCCTGGATAGGTGCCGCAGCTAACTGCACGTCCTCCCCAAGACAGGCGCTCTCGCAGCTCCGCGCGCCGCGGTCACCGGCCGCCGCCGTCGTGGGCTCCTCGCCCCTCGCCCATCCCGGGACACCGCGATCCGTCCAGGCCAGAGGAGGGAAAGGAGCGGCACCGCGCGCCTTTTCTCTCGGCCCTAAAGAAAACCGCCCTTCTCCCGACGCACCAAAGGGCTCACGTGTTCCTGCTTCGGGAAGAAGGCACTTGCAAGTGAATACAATACGAGGGAAGGCAGAGGGCGGGGACCTCCTTCCAAGTGGCGCTCGGGGCTCCCTCGCCGCGCTGCCCCCGCCGTGCGTGCTCTCAGCATTTGCCTGAACCGAATGAAACGTGGGGACACAGAAGCTCCCGGGGGAGAGCGACCCTAACCCAGCCGCGGGGCGACGGGCGCCTAGGCCAGGGTGCCAGGCGGGGTCTGAGGCAGTTGGTGGGGGCTGCGGACACCCCGCCAATGGCGTGCACCCGCAGCCCCTAGCCCCTCACCGTCCGCGCGGTCCCTAAGCGGCCCCGGGCGCTCAAATGAGCGGGAAGCGGCCCTCGCCGCCGTCGGGCTCCCCGGCACCACTGCCTCGCGGGCGGCCGAGCACCGACACCGGCAGCACGACCTCCCCAGGGCTGAGCTGCTGCAGCCGCATGGACTCCTCGTAGGTGGGCAGATACTTGACCTCCTCGTAGCTGGGCAGCTGCAGGAAGACTGGCGAGACCACGCGGAGCTCGTGCTCCGAGGCGCAGGAGGGCGCCGAGCGTCCGCCGCCTGCCCGACTCCGGCCGCCGCCGCCGCCACTGTCCAGCAGCGAGTCCTGCGAGCCGGCGGCTGCCTCGTTCCGCAGGAGAGCCGGCGAGTCGTCGTCGTCGTCGGGCGGCCCTGCGCCCCCCGGCGCCCCTGCGCCCCCCGGAGGCCCGGGCCGCCCTTGCCCGGCTCGCGCCTGACCGCGCGGGTACCTGCGTGGGTTAGGGCAGATGATGCGCTGCAGAAAGTAGCCGATGGCGAAGAGCACGAGCAGGATGAGCAGTCCCGAGAGCTTGCGGACGAACCAGCCCACGTTGTCCAGGAAGGCGTGCAGCGGCAGCTTGCAGCAGCGCACCGCCGTGGCGTTGGCCGCGTCGCAGCAGCGCTCCCGCTCGCCGCACGCCAGCTCCGCGCAGCCCCCGCCGCCCCGCGAGGGCGCCACCAGCGCCAGTGCCAGTAGCAGCAGCAGCGGCAGCAGCGGCGGCGGTGCCGGCGCCACCGATAGGCCCTCGGTTGTGACCCCGGGTCCCCACATGGCCCGCTCAGACCTCTGCTAACACGCGGACAGGAGGTTCGGGGCGGGGGGCGGGGGGAGTCCGTCTGTCCGTCCGCCCTTCCCAGGCGCTCCGCTCGGGTCCCGCGCGCGCGCGCGCGCGCGTGCCGCCTCCCGCGCCTCAGCTACCCGCGGCCAGAGCAGCCCTCACTTGGCCACGCTTGGGAGGGAGGAGGAGCCCGAGGCACGCCAAGGCTGCGGGAGGCGGCTACTGCGAGCGGCCCGTGAAGCCTCTGGAGCTTCTGACCTTAACCTTGCGCGCCCAGTCGCAGGGGCTAGGCGCAAGGCGTCCAGAGCCTACCGAATGGCAGAGACTGCCTGCGAGGGGCCGCTGGGGGCATCTTGGTCGCGGCCAGCTGCACTGCTGCCCCTGCACCTTGTCACCCCCCGGGAGTGGAAGGGTTAACGCCCCGCGCTCAGCCTGGGAGCCCCCTGATCTTGATTAATTCAGCCGTCGCGCTGTTCCCAGCCAGACGCGCGCGGGGGCTCTCGCTCACATACATGTCTCAGTTTTAAGTGATTGGATTTCCCCAGGAATGTTATTTAAATTGACTTGCTACTGGGATACGCTTACCATCTTTCTTGTGATCTTTCTGATTAAAAATGGATGATGGCCATTAATGGCTAGTGCAGCCCCACTGCCATTCTGGAGTTGGGAGAGGGGGTGGCGGGGTGCTTCCGGATACTTTTGCTTTCAGGCAGGTTCTCCCCCTCCCCAAACCTCCAGAACTGGAGGGAATTCCTTGGGCACCACAGCATCACCAAAATAACCCCAGGGCATAGGTAAGTTCTCTGGGAAGGTGACCAGGGTTGACCAAGGTAAGAGGGTACGTGTATGCCCAGCAGCTCACCCGACCAGCCCCCACTGCACTGGAGCACAGAGCAGAGATTTGGGGTGGGGTGTAAAAGGAGGCCCCTTCTCCTGGGTTAGCAGATTATCTGTGAAATGTCAAAGGAGGGGAGTTAAGTGGTTGGCAGCGTTGCTGAGCATTGATCTGCGTCTAAAGGGTCTTTTTCAAGGTTATTCTTGTTTGCAAAGTTTGATTCTAGAGGAAGTCTGGGCTGGCACTTAGCTTGTGGAGCAGCGTCTACCTTGCCCCTCGGTCACCACTCCCTGGAGAAGTTCCTTAGCCCACAGTATACCCAGGAAGGATGCTCCCCGGGGTCCCTGACTGACCCCCCAGTCACATCCATACAGGGGTCAAGCAGCTGGTTAGGGCCTCAGCAGGGAGAGGCCTGGAGCTGGGCCAGTCTGAAATGGACAACCATTCCCCCACTTCTTAACACTGGGACCCCTGGAAATCATAGTCAACGAGAGGAAAAAAAAGCAAGCAACAAAGGCAAGCTCTGGAGACAAACAAGGTTCAACTCGAGGCTTGTTCACCATCAAGATTTCCCTCGGAGTATGTCCTGCACTTATCTCCTTAAGAGAGGGATCGCACCAAGGAGTTTGGGGGTGGTTGGAGGAGTCAGGTCATTGCCCAGCCTAAGACGCTGGTAGTGCTCTGCTGCTGGGAGCACCTGTCTCTGCCTCACCCTCCTTTCTTCTGGTGGGGAAGCTTCTAAGTGTCCCTCCGGGAAGGAAGCTTGCTTTTCTCCTTATTCTCTCTGTGCCTAGATCCAGGTCTCTGTGAGGAGACCTTAGGCCTATTTTGTAAAGCCTGATTGACAATGGCTTCAGACTGCACCAACATAATGGGATGAAAAATATGCATTTTAATGCAGTGACTATTGACAATATTTCTCTTTCATTCACCTGTTCTTTTGCTCAATTTACACCCAACATTTTTCTACATTTAGAGAACTCTGTTAGGTGCTCACCACATCGGAGAGAAAAACAGACTGTTCCCTAGCATGCAGTCAACCCAGGTTTGTACATTGAGCTTCTACTAAATGGAGAAAGAAAGAAAGGGCAGTTTCTTCTTTGATCACGACTTGTTCTTACTTTCCCAAAGGAAAAAGAAAATCATAGAATTTCAAACATCTCAGGGGTGAGGCGGTTTCAGAGCTTGAATTGGGCTTTGAATGTGAAATTGAAAAAAAAAAAACTACAAAGACTTCTTTGCGTTTTTATTATCTGATGTGTTTAAGAATCTCTGCCAATGGCAGCAGCAATGGTAATATGAAGGGGGAGTTGCATGGCTGGTGATGTGTAGGAGAAAATGTCCTGCCTGTTGTCATTTTGAAATCACTAAACAAACAGCATTTAAATGGTTTCTTTTCCATCTGCTTTAAAGAGTTAGTTTATTTGCAAATTTGCAGACCATAGTAAAATAATATAGATCTTATATAAAATAAAGCATTGAGCAATAGTAGTTATATGAAAACAAAGAAAAGGATGAGGTCTGAAAAATGAGTATGAAATGGAGTTTTATTTAATTTTTTTTCATTCCAAATTGATAGTCCCAAAGCATCATCCATTAAAGACCCTCTACAGGAAAATTGGTGCCTTGGTATTCTCTGATCTCTCAGTTTCACTTAATTCATTTTTATTTGCAATGTAACTCATTGCGTACAAGCTTTTGCAGGAAAGAAATGAAATCCTATAGCTTTAAAAGCCCCAGAAAAAGACATGATCTTCATTACTCAGCATCCTTATTCTTTTCTTTGTACTTAACACAGAAATGAATAGGTTAGATGTAGCTCCCAGAAAGTCATAAATTGAAGCCACTTAGGGAGGGAGGTGGAATTTAATCATAGTTCCATAGAATAGTCACAGTGTAAAAATTAAAATTAAAATAAAACCTCATTTTGTAAAAAAAATTGCACCAAATTGTGTTAATAAGTGCAAGAGAAAACAAGAAGCCTGGTGGGAGGGGGCTGAGTTTCACCTGCAAACCATCCTCTCATGAAGCCTGGCGTGGGCAAGATTAAGAACTTTACCTGCTTTCCCTCGCTCTGGTTCTTCATGATATTTTTTGAAAATTATCTCTTCCTGACTTACTTATGCTCATCTGAATGAATGCTAAATTAGCTGTAGTTTTTTTTTTTTTTTTTTTTACTTTTTTAGAACAGAAGAAAATAAAGAGAATATAGCAAAACTGGGTCGTATTTACCTGTGCACCCAGGAACTGTCCTGATAGCTTGAGAATGTTCTGTTCTGTCCCGTGACACTGGTCCAGAAGGAAACTTCTCTGATGTGCGCTGACCATTGGTGACTCCTGCCTTCAAGCCTGAAAAGCGATAGCTTTGCCCTTCCTTATCTATTCAAAATGTCTAGGCATCGCAGTTGGGACCTTGCGAACTAGCTGTCCAAAAGGATCCCTCGTTCAGGATATGGGGCATGGTTCCTTCCTACCAGGTTGCTATAGTGGATCTGTTAGCTCCTTAACCCCTTTCATTTCATGGTTTCCCTTTATTTGCTGTGTGTCCTTCCTGAGCAATGGTAAATTAAGAACCTTGTATGTATTTGCATAAATGTGCCTACCTACAAAAGATGTGCAGTCTGAGAAAATCTGTTTTGGAGTTTTTTTCAGACTGTATTGTCCCCTGTCCTCAGGTTGGTTATTGAAGGATGGGGAGAGAACAGTTGACACTACTCAGGCAGTGAGAATAATTAGTTGGTATTCCAGGGATGGATGCTTATGGCAGAGCCTGCAGGGCGCTCTGAGATTTTACACTGGGCGCAAGCACGGAGAAAGACAGCCCTGAGAAGCCCCGCAAGGCAAAGAGGAAAGGACTCTCAGGCAGAAGAAACTTCTTGGCGACAAGTCCCTGAGGTGGGAAGACCCTTTCCCTGTCCTTTGTTAGGCTTGGGGCAAAACCTGGGTCACTTCAATCTCAATGCTTGTGATTGTGCTCATAGATCCTCGTTGGTAGCAGCCAGCTACCCCCGCTGTCATCCAATTTTAAGTCCAAGCCAGTTCTCTGCAGGAGCCTAACAGCTTATGTTATTGTTGTTATCTTTGTATTTGGTCCAGCTCAGTGTCCCCTTGGAGACCAGAAGAGTGACAGCAACGTGCCTGTTCTTTCCACCCGACAGCCCTGAGTTGGGGTGGAGTACGGATTTCCTCTTTCAACTTTATGAGCTGGAAGCTAGTGATGAAAGGTCACTTGCTATTAGTAGGAGAAAAGGCAAAGTGAGAGGCTTGTATTTTTTTTTTCCAATTAGGCACAGCAGGAAATAGAAAAGCTTTCTCCCAAGCTTGAAGTTAAAGATAAAAGGTTAAGTAATTTTCAGGAAAGAAGATCTACATTTATGCTTGGCCTTTTGGCTTTTCAAAGAAATTCCATGGTCATTGTATTGTTTTCTCCTTACTGCAATCTGGAGGTTATGCTTCCTCCTTTTCACGGATGCACGTAGGTTAAGGAGCCTGAATCACAGTGTATACTAGTGTCAGGGCTGCATCGGGACGCCAAGGCTTACAAACCCAAGTCCATTGAAACAGTAGGCGGATATCCCACTCCCTCAGAGACCTGGACCAGGCCAAAGGCAGCACCCTGGAGAGGAGGCCCTTGTCTTCCCTTGACAACTCCTGAGGGAGAAAGAGGCCAATGATAAGGAAAATGAGGGTCAAGCTGGACTCTATTCTAGACCATGGGGAAATGATATTCTTTGAAGAAATCAAACTTTGGTTTCTACCATTTTGTGGCCACTTTCAGTAACCCATTGATAATGGTTTAGAAAATAATGTCATAGCCCAGCTATTTGTATGTATATTTATGCAAATAAAGCTAAATAAACTCCCCCTCTTCATTACATTTGATATTTACCCATGAACTAAGTTATCTAATGCTATCACTCTAAATGGCATACTCACATTCTTGGGAAAATTAGCACAGACTGAGTCCTGAAACATCTATGAATAGACGATATTATTAATCAATGAGCTAAACATTCTATTTTTAAATGTTGGCTTTATAACAATTTATCGGTTAATTTCTCATGGCAATCTTGTAGAACAGATGGACAACTTTCACTTTAGCCCTGATGATATAAGAACTAAGCCATAAATATTATGAGAAATGTATTTTTTACTTATTTATCTTTTAAAGATTTATTTTTTATTTGAAAGACAGAGTTATAGAGAAGGAGAGACAGAGGGAGACAGAGAAAGAAATAATCTTCCATCTTCTGATACACTCTCCAAATGCCTGCAACAGCCAGGTTGAAGCTAGGAGCCCAGAACTCGATTTAGGTCTCCCACCTGGGTGGTAGGGACCCAAGTACTTGAGTCATCACCTGCTGTCTACCAGGGTGGGCATATTCAGGAAGCTGGAATCAGGAACAGAGATGGGACTTGAGCCCAGGCACTGTGAAATGAGACGCAGCCATCCCAAGTAGTGTTTTGACCACTGTGCCAAATGTTCACTCCCTGTGAGAAGTATTTAGTTCCAAAAGCAACTGAAGTAAGAATTCCACTTATGTCAGTTGAATTAATTTCTTTCTCACTTATATTTTTTTAAAAGGTCAGATTGTTGAGATTAGAAAATATTTGTCAGTAGA